ACATCCTCACGCTATGCGAGGACCTCCAGCGTCGCTAAAATCCCCATAGGAAAGCATTTTCAATGCACATTAGGTCTCATCCCGCCGCCGGCCGCGCATGCGCGACAGACCCTAAACCACCGCCGAGGGACATCGGCGGTGATCTCAGGTAAGTCACTGGAGGGGTTTTCACCCCTTCAGCAACATGGGATGGGGGGTGGGAGGGAGAGGGGGAGGTGACCTGCAGTGCCAGGAAAACTATTTGTTTTCCTGAACCTTGAGTGTCCCCTTAAGAGGAATGAGGGGCCACTAAGAGACAGGTAATGGGGGAACACTAAGAGACAGGTGGGGGGGGACGAGGAACACTAAGGGACAGGGAAGTAAGGGGAGAGGAACACTAAGGGACAGGGAAGGAAGGGGAGAGGAACACTAAGGGACAGGGAAGGAAGGGGAGAGGAACACTAAGGGACAGGGAAGGAAGGGGAGAGGAACACTAAGGGACAGGGAAGGAAGGGGAGAGGAACACTAAGGGACAGGGAAGGAAGGGGAGAGGAACACTAAGGGACAGGGAAGGGAGGGGAGAGGAACACTAATGGACAGGGAGGGGAGAGGACTACTGATGGACACTAAGAAGAGAGGAGAGAGGAACACTAAGCAATATGGAGGGGAGAGTGGCACAGAGTTGGGAGACAATCAGGGGGAGAAAGACACACAGATGGCCTGGGGGTGAAAGACACAGCGGGGCCCGAGGGGGATAGATGGGCTGGTGGTGAAAGAGAAACACACAGGAGAGCTGGTAAGAGTAAAAGACAAAGGGTCTGGGAGAGAAGGAGACACACAAAGGGGCTGGGGGGAGTAAGACACACACAAAGTAAGAGATACACAAAGGAGGTGTAAGACACACAATGGTGAAAAATAGGGGATAAGATATACTAAAGGGGGCAAAACAAAAAGAGGATAAGAAACAAAAGGTGGCTTAAGAGGCACAGAGGGGGCCACCAAAAATCATCTTCGCCTGTGTACCCAAAAATCCTTGCACTGGCCCTGTAAAAAGACTATATATGTTTTTAAACAATTTCACTTTACCTGGTTGGGCAGACATGTTCGGTCAGACACAGTGGCGGAACTACAGACAGCAGCTGCAATGGGTGGCCCATGCACTTAGGGCAAACCGGATAGGCAGGTTCCTTAGCAGGGCAACTAGGCCCCTTTTAATAATGGCAGCCAGTGTTGGGTGAATACTTGTCACTTCCTTTCAACTGAGACTGCGCAGGCTAGGATGATAGAGTATGCACATACAGGGCGGGAGGGAGAGCACAGCAGAAAACCTGGACAGCCTCAGACTCCCATCAACTTCATCCAGCCCAGTGAAGCCACCCTTCTGCACTCAAAAGATATGTAAGCAGGGGGTTTGTTAAATATATGCAAATTGCGACTTGTGTGTATGCTTCTGTGGCTACAGATGTGTATATTTGGCAATACGTACCAGAATTCAAACATTAACACTACAAGCACGCCCCTGCAAGCAAATGCTCTAACTACATACAATCACATTCCTGCATTCAAACACACTACATACAAGTGTATCACTGATTTTAAGTGGCAACAGTACATACAAACACACAACTGAATTCAAATGCCAAGGCTACACACAAATATAGAACACTATGTTCAGACGCACATACTCCATCTAAAAACATGCTTACATTCAAACACTGCTCACAAATAAAACCCTGGTAGGATGGGCCAATGGTAAAAGATGGCATTGCATTGCGCGATATGTACAACAGATGCCGAGGTGAGCCCCAAATACTTTCTTGCACCATGGCCCTCTCTATAGGGCTTACGCCACTGGTCACACTACTAGTTTCTGTGCTGCAGTTTTAAACTATGTGAAGTTAAAATTTGTTTACAGTTGTCCGTTAAAGTCACTTAAGAGGACTGGGTGCAGTGGTCCTTTCCTTTTAACTCTGCATTGTAAAACATTACAGTTTTTGAGAAACAGTTCATGGAAAACTTCTCATGGCACACTGACCGTTACTAGAAGTGCTTCTGCAGCACAGACCAAGTAAAACTTAGTCATGTGATGCAGAAGCCCCATAGGAAAGCATTAAATCAATACTTTCCATCGCAGAGGCCATGACTCCTCTGTAATGTCACTGGAATAGAGGACTGTGGCACCTCTGTGCTGGGGGGAGGGGGGGAGATTATATATATATATATATATATTTTTTTTAATTAAAATTGGCAGGACCGCTATAACTAGGTACAGCGACAATGTGTGTGGGCTGGGCGCTGTGGTGGCATGAGGGAAATAAGGATGTCCTTCCATTTATTTAAATTTAATAGCTCCATCCTGCTGGCAACAGTGTGGGGTGGGGGACACAGTGATCTATTCACCTCCATTATTTAAGTCAACACCAGATATTCAGGGGGGGTGGGGAGGAGTACTATGTTCACCTCTTTACTTAAAGGGGGATGAAGGGACACTTCTAGTGACAAGGCAAAATGACTGCCCGGTCGCTAGTTTTAAACATTTAGAAGAGGTTTAATGTAGCAGCTCGTTAACAAACGCTAGCCAGCCACTACATAATAAACCCTAGTGGTGGAGTCGGTTATTTAACTAGTTGCCCACCAGCAGTCAGGATTTCAGCCATTTGCGGAAGTCTGTCAGGCTGAAATCCTGACCTTATTCAGGCTCTTTTTCTGCATGAAATGCAAAATCTGGACATTTTTAAATGAAGTGATCAATGTCTGGATATTGCACTCCAAATGGGTTATAACAAACTGGAAAAATGATCAAGGCCTTAAATTTAAAATTCACTTGAACACCTTGAATTCTCACTTAGTAAATACATCAATGAGATGTCAGATTTCAATGCCAAATAGTTAACAAAATCTTTAGGAAAAAAAAAATTGCACCTCACCCTCCCTCCCCACGACTCCTATTGCCAGTGCTACAATTATATATAATTACACATTAATCATGAGTAGTGTTCACAGAGAATAAATGTTTTTATTTTAATAAAAATAAACTCAATCTGTAATGGAAAATAAATGAAAATAGTACTGTAATAAATTAGTCAATAAAATATAGGATTTGCAGGAAAAAAAACTGTTGGGAAGAAAGTGGTTTAAAAATCTCACCTCAAGAAAATGGACGGTGATCTTAGAGCAAAAAGAACCACAACACGCTCTTTTCATGGCAGAACAATCCAAGATTGGCAGTTTAATCTCTGAATGAAAAGCAGATTGTTTTGAGATGATTTTGGAAGCTTATTTGATATAAAGTGTAGACCTGGACTGTCTTAGCACATCTTGCATCCAAACAGACTTTCACATTAAAAACTGGATAACCTGTGACCATGAATTCTCTAACTAGAATTTACAAAATCGCTGTGCAACACAAGGGGGCACTAAACACATACACATTCTGTCTCTGTTGCCTGGACAATTCCATCACAAAGAAAACATATCTAACATCTCAATAGTACGGTTGCCATAGCACTAAAAGCAACAGGCATGCTTGGGTTGTAGCTATTGAAATGCAGGTATTCATCCATTACTGAAAACGTTATTTAGTTACGATGTACCTGTTCATAAAGTGCTTATCGAACCACTCCTACAATTTCAGATATCCATTTTTAGAAATATAAATTTTAAATGTTGAACTGTTGTACTGTTCTTAAATTATATAGTATCTTATTTCTGAGCTCTGATATTTATTAAACATGATGTGGCTATATGATATAATTATATCCCCATATTATTTACACTAGATGAGTGTTTTAGTTAGCCTTGAAAGGTTTGAAACTGAGAATTTTTGTGGGCTGACTACTTGTGCATTGTTTTTTAATCTGATGGTTACATATCATGCACTTGGAGTACCATGATGACGTATCACTGTATTGCTATCACTGTATAGACATGTTCTGTTGGATGGCAACAGAATCTTTTTTTCATATCCAAATATGAAGTAAAACCATATGGCAGACAGCAAAAATTGTGGTCTGTGTCCCTTAAACGTTTTCATCATTTTCCTACTCTATATACCAAATAGCTTTTTGGCACAACATGTACTTGTTATATTCTGGCCTATTACCTTATTCCTAGTTATTTGTTTTAACGCACTCTTCCACCGTCACTTTACCTATTGTATACAACCTGTTCTACATCCCCATGTAACTTTACTACTCTCTGAAGCCATGAAACTAGTCTCTCCTCCTGTTACAAATAGGTAGGGTCTTATTCCACATCTGTTTACAGGCATCTCTTTTCTGCTTTGCCATCGGATGACGGAATTGCACAAGATGAGAAGGTTCTTTTCTATGGAACATCAGCACAGGCACATAATGTGACGCGTAGTAGGCCCACACAGACATGATCCTAGCAATAAAGGCCAGGGTGAACTAGTTCTATTGCTGGTTTACATATTGACTAAAAAGACCTAACATCTCCTGGTGCAAGCCTTTGAGGGGCCTGCTCCTTTAGTCTCATGTCTGATCAGACCCCAAATTCCCAAAGCAATAATTTATAGCTAAATAATAAAACCATGCCAGATTGATACCTACAAGTTATTTATTTACCATAACTTAATTACATGGTATGCACACAAAGATATACATTATATAAAAATAGATAATATTCACACTGAACTGTGGTTGCTCAATAATGAAGAAAACAAATGCATTTACGGTGTGTGTACCATTAATCCTGTATTGGCACATTGGAGCAGACAACTGTTACACTTCAGAAGCAGTTACCAATGTGGGAAAGATTATTGTCCGCACTAGACTAGAGATTTTTATACCCAGAATAGGCATGTTACAAAGTGTCCTACAAAATGCATATTCTTGGTCTGAAGAGTGGAATTTTCCTTAAACTCTATTTTAGATGTATTTACCAGTTCTTTAGAAAGCAAAGAAGATTCAGATTTTAAAAAAAAGAGTATATCCACTGTATGTTTAAAGTGAATAACACTAATTTTTAGTAAAACCATTTTAATAAAACGGGCTGGTCGGTCATGCATTACTTTGTTGTCCCTTTTTCTTCTTTTGTTTATTTTCAAGTTTCCGTTTTTTTTGGACAACTGGGGTTTCTGTTTCTTCTGTATCCTCAGTTGTGTCTCTCTTTGATTTGGGTTTCTTCTTCGCAGTCTGAGAATGTTGGTCTGGAAATGCAATTGAATAATTGGAATCAGCATATATTTTAAAACGATAACATTGCCGCTTTAAAGTATATTCCAGACTAGTATGTTATAAAGCTTAGGAACCAGATACCTCCAGCTGTCTTAAATACTCAAAGTTAACTAAATCATATTTACACAGTGATTCAAGAACTACTACCTGGCACAACATACAGAACTAGAAATCCAGCAATCTGTAAACCGCGAAAAAGAAAAAGAAAAGATCCAAATATGTATTAATAAAAAAAACTTCTGTAGCATCCTTGGGCCATCACATTAAACATACTAACCTCCCCAACTCTGTACATAGTGTGGGTAATGGAAAGATGCAGACATAAATGGTACAGCTACAAGGGGTCCCCAAGAACTGCAATACTTTGATGTAAGAACCACGGCTTACTGGCTGTAGAAGTAGTCATATCCCACTTCCCTCCCTTTTCAATTAAATAGTCACCGCCAAAACAAATGAAAAATCACAAAATATAGACACAAAAATTCTTACCAGGAGCGGCATCTTCAGTGGATTTTTCCTTATCCTCTACTCCAGATTGCCACACTGAAACACATGTAAGTCTCGCTGATGTACTGACTTTGCAAAGCAAGGATGGAGCATTCTGCAACTAAAAATAAACATACAAATACATTAAACAATTGACCATCCCTCTATAGCAGGGGTTCTCAACCCAGTCCTCAGGACCCCCTACCAATCCAGGATTTGGGGATTACCTGGGTGTCTCAGGTGTTTAGAAAAAGGGAAAAAAACACCTTAGACTCTAAGGTGTGTTTTTTTTTCTAAACACCTTAGACACACCCAGGTAATCCCTAAACCCTGGACTGGTAGGGGGTCCTGAGGACTAACATTGAGAACCCCTGCTCTATAGCATGTGATACTATACAAATATACATTTTTTAAGTCTGTGTGAAAAGACAAACATTGGGAACGTTGAATAATTCTATAATTTACCAAATATCCAACTATCTCCCTACAGTTCTGTAATATGATCCTATGTCAATTTGTTTATGGTTTTATTTTTTTGTTTGCTTTTTTATGACACACCCCAATCACTTCTGTCAATGCTGATGGATCATTTTCCTAAGCAATGACATCTGTTTAACAAACATTTTAAATGACAAAACATCTGTTAACCTTGTTGTTAAGTCATCAGTTGGAGACATCAGGAATCCATATATCATGCTAATATTTACAGGGGGGGGGAAATTAGCAAAACTGGCTTCTTACATTTTTCATAATTTGTGACAATATTTCATTCTGAAATGTTATCAGGTCCCAGGCGAACATCCCTTTGCTGAATGCATCCTTGGACTTTTTTTTTTTGGTTGAAAAGGGAGACTATAGTCACCAGAACTACAGACTAAAGGGACACTACAGGCACCCATACCACTTCTGCCCATTGGAGTGGTCTGGGTGGTAACTCCCACTACTCTTAACTCTGCAAGTGTAATTATTGCAGTTTTTTTTCTTAACTGCAATAATTACATTGCAGGGTTAAGTCCTCCCCTAGAGGGCACTTCCGTGTCCCTAGCACAGGAAACCTGTGCTAGAGCGTCGCTGGACATCCTCACGCTGTGTGAGGACCTCCAGCATCGCTCATTTCCCCATAGCATTTTCAATGGTTTCCTATGGGGAGCACTAATGCGAATGCGCGGCATTGCCGCACATGCGCATTAGGTCTCCCTGGCCGGTGGGCGGGATCAGTCACGCCCACCAACCAACGTAATGCAGAGGAGGAGCGGCGGCGGAAGCAGCAGCGACGTGGGACATGTCGCTGCCTCTGGTAAGTCACTGAAGGGGTTTTCACCCCTTCAGCAACCGGGATTGGGGGGTGGGAAGGAGAGGGGACCTGCAGCGCCAGGAAAACGGATTGTTTTCCTGGCACTGGAGTTTCCCTTTAATGTAGTTTTTCTGGGGAGTATAGTCCGTCCCTGCAGGTTTTTTGCTGTAAACACAGTTGTTTATTTTTAGAAAAAAGGCAGTGTTTACATTACAGCCTAGGGACATCTCCAGTGACCACTCCTCATATGGCTGCTAGAGGTGCTTCCGAGGTCATCCTCTGCAAGGAGACACTGAACTTTCCCTAATAGAGATGCATTGATTCAATGCATTTCTATGAGGTGATGCTGATTGGCCAGGGCAGCATATGACTCCACCCCCCACCCTGCCTTACTTCTGATGTCAGCCAGTGAGGCAGATCGGGACAGAGTCAGCACTAGCAGACTGGAATAAAGGTAATATTTTACTATATTTATGGGTGCTAGTGTTTTTAACACTATAGGGTCAGGAATACATGTTTTTGTTCCTGAACCTATAGTGTTCCTTTAATTAAGGTATTTATAAAGCAAATCATTAAAGGGACACTATATTCAACTACAGCCTAATGTAGCTGTGCTGGTGAGTATAGTCAGTCCCTGCAGGATTTTTAACATAAAAACTTTTTCAGAGAAAAGCCAGAGTTTATATTGTTCCCTAGGCACACCTCCAGTGGTAGCCACTCAGATGAACGTTCAGCGTCTCAAGGCTTAATATTTTGTTAACTCATGAACTGGTGTAATATGGCATGTGTGGTTGCTCATCTGAGGTGTTATTTACCCAATTCTAAGACCTGCTAAGGGACAGATTGTTATATCCTGATGTGCAAAACCATAGAATTCAAATAGGGTGTACTTTCTTTTTCCCATGACTGTATTTCAACTTATTAAGAACACCTTTCCAAACAAATGTATATTATGCAAGGTTCAACGTTTCGATTTTTTTCACAATCTGCAGACTCGTACATACATTTTCGCTGTCAATTTTCCACATCTTTACATAACCATCGCTTGATGACGACACAATGATTGTAGAGCCTTCAAATTGAAAAGTATGGAGATTCTTTACCCTGATATAATAAAAATATATAAAAAGGACATTGGTTTTATATGGATATAAAAAGGCAATGTGCAAAACACAGCAAGTAATTCACTAGTCATTTTAATATGTATGCAGTTAGATGTATTTAATAAAGAACAAAATATAAAGACATGTCACATATTTGAGACATTTGGGTGTATAATGTGCCTAAGCTGCATAAAATACTAGCCTGGAATATACTTTAATACTGTATCTTTTATTAGTATAACGTTGAGGACCTCTCTACAATCATGGTTTCAGAACTTGATATCCATTAAACAGAATCAACTTTAAATGCTTTTGGCTGCACAGCTCCAAGGGAAACATGTTTTCTCATGTGGTGTCACGCACCGAATGAAAAAGGGCATTCCCAGTTGTCTGTTGCCATGGACGCCATACGATGGCTACATATTGCATCATGTCAAAAACCTTGTGAGTGGTTGTGGAGAGCAGCCAAAACGGCAATGGTGCCAAACACTATTGCAAAGACTAGCAGAGCAGGAAACTAATGGTTGGTATTACTCTGCAGAGTTGTAGTTCTATGTCAGCAGTGTCTCTGATAAAATACTATTTTTACGAAATCTCCCTCCTATACTCATTACAACACAACTTAAATCTCCCAGCACCATCATACATGGGGAAAATGACAATTGGAGAGAGAGTTTTACATCATAGCAGTGGGGGAAGATATGTGATCTAGTACAGCATTGCGCCCTAGCTAGTAAAAACCCAGGAAACCACATTTAAAGTATTATCTATGTGATATCGAAACCCGCAGGCCCTCCAGAAAATGAACCCGTCCCTAGATGGGGACTGTTGGCACTGCCATGCGGCCACAGGATTGTTCCTCCACATCTGGTGGGAATGCCCAAGGGTCAAACCTTTCTGGAAGGCAATCAACGCCATCCCATGGAAGTTTTCTGACAACCCCCCTCCCTTCCAGCCCGCCCTATTTCTCCTACACCACACCTTTTTGCCGACCGCTAAATATAAGAAATCCCTGGCGACTCAAATCTTAAATACGGCAAAACAGGTCATCCCACTGTTTTGGAAATTGGACATTCCACCACCCCCTACTGTCTGGTTTACTAGAATGGAAGGCTTAAGACGATTAGAAGAATTAATTTCCACAGCACAGGACCGCTCCCAATTGTACGCAGATGTTTGGACACACTGGCTGACGACTGCCTACATTTCTGACTTACAGAGGTTGATGACATATGAGACCCAAGGAGAGTAATGAGCGAAAGGAGGGGGGAGATGGGTGTCACTGCGTAATGGGGTCTCTGGTTGCCAGCCGTGAGCAACAAGAACGGTCTAATAGAGTTCTAGGGACCTTGATCCCCCTTGCCTCTGACCCATGGACCCCTAACCTGTGTTGCAGACGACCACAGCCCAATTCTTGGACGGGGTGGGGGCAGGTGCAGGGGGGTTATGGAGTACTGCTCCTTGCTAGCCAGAACAAACTGGCGAGGGAAAGGAGCCCTCAAACTGCCTAAGCTAATCTCTAACCAGTACTACTTTGCTACTGAAACATGAGTAGATGGAACAGGTGTCTTAACCAGAGTTACATTATACTAGAAATTATTTAATTGATTGCAATGGACCTGCGCGTCCTTACAAGTTCATTATGACGGTCCTGTGCGACCCACGAACGGTTGCCGATTTGGACCTGCATGTCCACAAATGTTGTATTTGCGGTCTTACTTGACAACCAATAAAAAAAAAAAAAATTTATTCATAATACAAATACTATTTTTAGGTAATTAGTTGCCTCCTCTGAATCATTTGGGAGTCATATTGTGATATGTCTGGAAGAGTATGGTTGAGGACTAAGGGGGTGTAAGATCTTGTAATTCTCAGATTTGTTTCTGGATGTATACTAGGGGCCAGGACTGTTCGGGAAATATTTTATATTTGTGATAAGTTAGTCATCTACAGCCCTGTTTTGGAGCTTTGTTTTAGTGGTTTAGCAATTGGTCATTCACAGCTTATCTTGAGGGTAAAGATTAGGGATGTAGGACTGATTTCAAAAGGTTCATCTACAGATTTGGTTTACTAATTTAAACAGTAGAGAGTGGTAATGTTGCTGCAAACTACTGGCTTTTTCCTGACATAGTATTACAGGAACATTTTCCTGACATAGTGAATCAAGCATGCTTCCCAAGCCAAATCACAATGATTGGTGCTGGGCAGTTGGTAAAGGCCAGCAGTGGTCACAGCCAGGGAGACCCAGTCAGTGTCTGTTTAGACCCTGGGTTTCCCCCAAAGAGACTGGTGTCTCCTCTTCAGCTCAGACCCTGGGGTTCTCTGTTCTTTATAGTTTGAAGACCATATCAAAGTTATAACCTTTACATTTTATCATTTGAAGAGTCATATACTGTGAGAGGAGTTTGTTGAATGCAAACATATTTGGATTGCCTGGAACTTTCAGCCTCCTCCCAATAGATAAAGTTCAGACACACAGTGTGGGTAAGAAATACATTTATTCATTCATCCATCAACTGGATCTTCCATTGTGGCTTTGTTTATGTTAACAACCATTCCTCTATTACTCACCTCTGTACATGCTACTGAGGAATTAACAGAGAGAGATCCACAATGGATAAACTATTAGGCACTTAAAGGGACACTATAGGCACACAGAACCCTACATCTCATTGAAGTGGTCTGGTTGCAGTGTCCTAGACAGCCACTAGAGGTGCTTTCTGCTGTTTCACAGAGTTTAACGGTGCTGGACATCCTCAGGCTCTCTTATTATGAGGACATCCAGCATCTTGAAAATCCCCATAAGAAAACACAGATTTTTATCCCTTTCAGCAACAAGGGGACGGAGGGACATTATAGTGTTTTATATTCCCAACACTATAGTAATACTTTTTAACCCTGCTTCATGTGCTATGTGGTGCCGGCTTCCATGATTCCCTGCAAGGAGCAATGCAGTCCATATTTACATTCATGGTTCACACAGAAAAGTGGAACATTTTCATTATATGTGTGAGTAATAAAAAGAGAAAAGAATAATCATTTACCAACAGTTAATACATGTGCCATTTGATTGCCATGAATGGCAGTCCAGGCATGATGGAGTTACAGATTTTAGACAATAGACCACATTGCCAAAGCCGTTTCCTGTACAATTGTCAAAGTTATCCTGAAATTACAATAAAACAAGTATTTTAGAGGTTTGTGAATCTACATGGGTTCAACTCTGAATGCAAAACCATCCCAGCAGGTTTTTTTTGAAGAACTAGCCAACTACAATAATATTTATAAAGAACTTGAGATTGTATTGTTTATCACTGACATTCTGCTACTCCAAGCCCGGTAAAAAATGGTTCTGTTTTTTTCCAACAAAAATAAAAAATTCAAAAAAAAAAACCAAATCACACTATTGTTTTAAAGGCAAGTTACAGAAACAGCAACCATTTATTCTGAACCATGGTTATATATTTTTTTAAAAATAGATGAAAAATGTAAAACCTGCTGGGTATGCAGGACATTGTCCCAGTGCTGCCCTTTCAGTTAAATCATCACACTTACATTAACCTAAAATTTAATGGAATCTAAACATCTCTGGGCACTGGAGACATTTATAAACCCCTCAATATTTTGTCTTTAAGTTTAATACAAACAACATTGGGATGGGTCAGTAGGTACACTGGGCTTTGCCACTGGGGTGTATTGAAAAGTCCTAATGTTTTGGTGTGAGCAGGGTTAAATCCCAGCTAACATCAGGGAGCTTCGGGTATTCTAAGATATCTGGGGATTCCTTCTGTCAGCTAGGGCAATTTTTTATGTAAGATTAGTTGTATGTAGAGGGTAAATCCTGCAATTCAGTGTAAACAGGGTTAAATCCCTGTTCACAACAAGGAGGCCCAGGTATTAATGGATACCTGGGGCTCGTCGTTGCCATTTTCAGTGACCCCAGACTAACGCACGAGCTGTATGAAGCATTTAAAGTTAGCTCTGCAAACAGCCAGATAAATCCATTCATTCAGAATACCACGGCTGAGCAATCGCACTCAGCAACTTTGATTCTAGGGATGCAGGATGCTGAAGGAGAATCTGAACAGACCCTGACTGGGAATCCCTGCATGTCCCCAAGTTGATTGTGATCACTGCTAGGCTTTGCCAGCTGCCCAGCACCTATCACAGTGTGAAAAATGTTCTGTAATATTGAAAAAAAAGACAGATGTTAGCAGCAACATACCATTCTACTGTTTAAACTAGGAAACCTGATAGCAGATTGTTTCCTTTGGGGTTAGGAGTAGTGGTAGGTTTAGGGTTAGTGTAGGGTTAAGGTTAGTGTATGGTTAGAGCTAGTTGTAGCAAAGAGTAAGGGGTAAGGTTGGTATAGTGTGGGGGGGGGTTGATAATGGGTTAGCGTTAACTACCAAAAAGAATTCAGATCCTAATCGTATTATACATTTAACAATCATGTGCATCTTCCCCCCACACTTTAAGGAGCACTAAAGGGTTAATAACTAGGCTGTATTCCCAAGACTATATTGCTCATCTCCCTAGCTCTAAAATCGTTCACACTAGAAGCAGTTTCAACCCTGCAATGTTAGGGACAGGGGCACTGCACCCAGACTACTTCAATGAAATATAGTGTTTTGTGTTCGATTTGTGGTCTTGGTCAGAATAGTGAACGTATGTATGTTGTAGCTACCAAATGCAAAGCCGTGTAATCTGTCCTTTGCTCTGACCACCATAAGGAAAGCCTGAACAGAACTAATCAGGAGTGTGAATGAAAGAAAGGCAATAAAGTTGATAAAAAAATAAATAAATAAAAAATAATAAAAAAATAAAAAATGAAATTCTAGCAATTAAAGGGTGGGTTTGATGTTATAAAGCATGCTTCCTGAAAGAGGAGCTATAAAAGTGGGAAGGAAAGTTATGCCAATGCCAAAATGAGTGTCAGTGACAAAACAGCTGGATGCATGTTCAATCAGGGTGTGTCACCCAACACTCCCAGGCACTGAGCTCATGTGCCAACTGCCTGGCAACAGAACTCAGCTACAGTGTTTAGTCACATACTGGAAGTAAGCTCCCTACAGACCATGTCTAGTGTTCCCTGGTGCAGGAGAAGAGAAAAAATGAAAATACTGGGACGGCAGGGGACAGGTCCCAAATTAGGTCTGTCCTGCAGGATGTTGGACTGTTGGGAGGGATAAGACACATGCAGTACTAGTCAAGGACCACTGTATGTATTTGCGTGTCACTTAGCCAGCAAAATCACTACTGCAGCAGTAAAAATAAATAAAATGTGGTCTCCTATAGAAACTTTGCTGTGTCTATTACCTCTTCAGTTACAACCAAATTTTTGCTTCTTTTGTAGGTAAAAGAATAAAAAAAAGAAAGTTTACAGAACTGCTATAACTGTTAAATCAAGGAACAGTTGAGCAATGTTAAGGTCAGCCTGGCATAAAACATCTAGTTAAATAGTTATTCCAGGGTTGTTACACTTAATGCATTAATTATATAACACATCAAGAAGATTTAAAATAAAACACAACTACACTCACGATTAAAGCGTCTAAAGCTGCTGCACTGGCATGGCAAGCTTCAGCAGCAGACAAACCCTCCCAGAGCAAGAACAGAAGATCATCTATCAAGAGGCTCTAATGCTAGTCTGTGTAGTCTGACCTTACCCTATGAATACCAATCAATCCAGATATTATGACATATGAAGTTCAGCCCCAAATTCAGTTTCACTCATTAGATCAAAAAATAGGAAGTGCTCAATAAGCAGATCGCAGCTATACTGAAGCTGTTATCAGACTTAACAGCCCCGTGCAGCTTTGCTCATTGTTCTCATTAACAACCAGCCACGAATGTTCTCACTCTTGGATTGGGAAGTACATAACTGTATAAAGATGCACAATCTGAATGGATTCTGTGCTAAAGGGAAAGTTAAAACTCAATGAGAGAAGGGCTTGAAAGACATGTGCCTGCCCTGCATGCACGCACACACACATATCTGGATGGGTAGACTTCTTATATCAGGCATAGAACGGGCAATGAGTAACATTCTTATTGGGTCTTAGTGTGTCTCTTTAAGATATTCTTTACAGACTGGAAGACTGAGCAGGGAGTATTTAACCCCCCAAACAGATTCCCTGTGTAATTTCAGCTTTGAGCAGTCAGTCATGGGAGATAAAAGTTTACTATGTTATAAAGTTCAAGAGGACTTCTCAAAATTCCCAGGGAATGTTAAAAATAACTTGTGCCTTTTAAATAAAACTTCTGCTTTTGATTTAAAGATTAGTTGTAATTGAGTTTGTTCCCAGCAGTCAACAAACTCCCTTGGGATATAAAAAAATTAAATGCTAAAAATAAGCCTATTTAATAAGTTAATGGAAGGCATAAACTTGATAAAGACCTCCATTATATCTACAGAAAGCAAAGGGTAAGTGGATGGCCACATGTCAAAATAGATTAGAAACTCACTAGAAATAAATCCGGTTACAATTTCAATTTGGTTTAGAACATCTTAGCACAGCTATGAACAGGACCCATTTGATGCTCTATATTTTATGTTGGCATATGAAATGTGCCCAAACTACCATTTTTTTTCTTAAGCACAACTGACCTAAATGTTTATTTCATATATTTACTACACACCCTGAACCCCTGCAGGCAATGACATGCCAGGAATGTCACAATAACAAACTATTTTATCAAATACTACAAGAAGCAGGCAAAAAAATAATTTATAAATAAAATTACACATTGCTTTCCACAACATAAACCAGGTATATATGAAAAATATTAACAAACATTTTATAACACAATCTACCTGTTCATTCAGCAGACATTTCTAATCATTGCATATTACGTAACAAACTACACAACACGAGCAGTGATGCATGATGCTACTTATACACCTTCCACCCTGCCTGAATGGTGGGAGGCACGGTCCTGGCCATCTTTTTGCGACTACCACTACTAATACATTAGACTCTGCCATTACGGACATGCCAGGAGAAGGTCTGGGGAGGCATGTTGCCAACAAGTTGGTAACTGATTAATTAATGCTCAGAAGAGGGCCATCCTCCAGTCTGCCAGGCCATTCCAGTTGACAGAAATCTTGCCATAACCATAAATGCAATGAACCCGTGTAACACAATGGCAAACATTAGGGGAGTATAAAGCCATCTATGGGTTCATGAGTAATCCATTAACTTTGGCCTTGGTTTATCTCTGCAGAAACCATTAGTAGCACTATTTTCCCATAAGATACAGTTCACAGTTAGATATAGAGATATATATATATATATATATATATATATATATATATATATATATATACACACACACACATACACAACATTAGAAGTAAAATTAAATCTGGGGTTCACCCAAGAACATAACAAAACAAACAAAAAAAAAATCTAGTATCAACCAATGTTACCTGTTTTCATGAGCTTTGAACTCACAAATGCATTTCTGTGAGTCAGTGTTGTACAGTCTGATCTCTTCTTCATCTCCAGCTACAGCTAGAATTGTATCCTGTTGATTCACATAAACATATATTATATAAAATGTGACCAGGTAAGAGAAGGGAAAGTATTAAACCTGTAGTTGTCTATAAATTTTGCCTGACAATTTCTTTTGCAGATCACCAAGATGGAGTAAAATGATGTTAAGCAAAAGAAAATGTGATTTCAAAACTGCATATTAAATAGTTGACATAGCATCCTAAAGTAATTATACGTAAAAATAAAGTAAACCTATAATGGATCCAACCAGAGATTTAAGATTATTAACCTGTTAAGAACAGATAAAGGTCCATTCTATCATACTACAATTTTTAAAGGCATACCCTAAGCGCAAAACAACTTTACCTTTAACCCCTTAAGGACCAAACTTCTGGAATAAAAAGGAATCATGACATGTCACGTGTCCTTAAGGGGTTAAAGGATACTATAGTCACCAGAACAACTACAGCTGAATATGGTTGCTCTGGTGAGTATAGCATGTCACTGTATTTTAATGTAAACACTGCCTTTTCATAGAACATTACATTACTGCCTCTTAACGCCTCTAGTGGCAGTCACACACGACGTGCAGCACGGACATTCAGCCTCTTAACGACATGAATGGAGGCGTTGAACTCTCCCTATAGAGATGCACTGATTTGAAGCATCTCTATGATGAGCTGCTGATTGGCGCAGCACTGCATTTTCCTGCGCATGCACGATAGCCCTCCAATGCTTTCCTATAGAACAGTTCTGCCAATATGAATAGGTCTAGTGATTTTAATAAAACCAGAGCATGTATAAAAACTGACTGGTGAAGGATTATGTGACATGAACTTGTAAAGTACTTGGTAGCAGTTCCATTTATCCAAATAGGATAAATGGAACTGCTGCTTAAGCGGATATCAGCTGGCACCTGTTAACCGAGAATTCAATTCATGTTTGTGAATGGACTGCACAGCTATGGTTCCAGTTTATTCCACGTAAACTGTGAAGTAGCTCAGTAGTGTAGGCGGGAAGTTGTACAGCATTTATCTTTCCAGCAAATACGCTCCACATGATTACTCTAAAGTGGGGGAGGAGGGTTATAGCTGTAATAATTCTTTCAAATTGCTGCCCTTATATGAAAATTTATTTTTTAAGAATGGACACTGAAGTGAGATGGACCTCTTTGCACTATAACCTCTGCAAAGATCACAGGTAGTTATGGTGTGTTCTGAGTCAATATAAAAGGTGTCACTTTAAAACGTTATCAGTCACTAATCCGGAAGTTACACCATTCAAAAAAAAAAAAAAAAAAAACTCAACTTTGCTATCCTAGTTACAATAATGAAGAATTGTGCTCCATTGTGCATTGCATACTTTTCAAGTTTCATACTATCCCTGTATGAATCCATACACATTAGAATCCAAATGTTGGTATCTGCAGTTACGGTCAAACATAACAATGACTTAGTAAATATAGAGAGTGTCTTACTGTAATGAATTGTATTGAAGAGATCCTTTTGGGATTATGTATAGTGCCAATAATCGAGGCATTTTCCAGTTTATACACATCTGCTTTATCATGAATTACCACTGCATATTTCTCTCCATTGGGAGACCACTGGACTATATGTGCATCTATAAGGAGCAACACGAAAATATATCAATCATTGCCAGATTAAATTTACAGAAATACATTCCTATGGTTTGTAATGTTTAACAGTACAACATTTTATCCATATTTAAATTGAAGAGACAAGCTGAATCATCTGACATCAGCCTATGGCTGCCATCCAAATAAGAACGACATTTGTATTTATGAAGTGGGAGAGTAAATTCCTCTTTAGCCGTGCAGGAATTAAGGTGGGGTTCTTGGGTAGCATGAAGGGAGCAGAAAATAAAACTGCAGGATTTGCAAACTGTTTTTAGATATAACCCAATGAAAATGCATGATTAAATGCATGCAAATTTTAATGCTAATTTGTTGATCTGGTAATTAGGATTAAAAATGGGGTCCAAGGACGAAGTTAACTACCAACCATGGAAATTAACACTTTGACATTAAGAGGACACCATTAAATTTGTTTGTGACTAATGCGAAGAAAAAAATAAGTGAGATTTAAAAATGTATTCATAAAAAAAGAAAACAAAAAAATCTAAAATACTAAAATAGAGAATTTGAAAAAATTTAACTACTTACTTTGTTTGATATTTTTAATAAAAGCTGAACGACCCTCTACTAGATTCCAAGTTCTGTAAACAAAACAAAAAAATTCAATATGCTTGCATTAATATATTTGTTTTTAATGAACTTATACAGTTATATAAATTCAATAACATTTATAAAGTAATATTGGAACATTAATTGTGTGAGAGATAAAGGAGAATTTTGCAGTTCTAAAAACGAAAATGATTCAATCTGCTCATTGTTGAAGTGTTAGCAGCATGGGCAGAGCAGAAGGGCTACAAAATTAAACAATTAACACACCGGCCAAATAGGGACATTCACATGGTGCTTGAACTGAAGAACGCCTTGTGAGTTACTTCCTTTTTTTTTTTTTTTTCAAAGCAGTGACCCATTAACCAAGCTCTTCACAGTGTATTAATTGGCAGAAATCACATAGATTGTTTTATACAATAAAAGTATGGAGAAAGTGCCAGGAAGCTTGTGATTAAGCATAATAATTCCAGTCACGCACCTCTTACTTTTCACATATTATTACATTACAGACGAAAACCCCCGGGGAACTGCTACTGCTGAAAAACAATGCTCATGACTGGAAACATCCTCCCAGTAACGTTTATTCTGGCGACTAAATCTTAATTTTTCAGTCTTGACAATGAAACACCAAACCCATTTACAGGACTCCATTAGTCAATTTGAGAGAGCTTTCTAGAAATTATATCACAAAACATTTTGAACAAAATCATGGTATGCGCATATACCCATATAATACTATGCAGGTGCTTTAAGAACAAAAATATGTATTCCAAATGCAATACAGGAGGATTAAATACAATGGTTCTTAAAGGGACACTCCAGGCACCCATACCACTTCAGCTAATTTAAGTAGACTGGGTGCTGTGCCCCTATTGCAGTTAGTGCTGCAATGTAAAATATTGCAGTTCCAGAGAGCACTGCAGCCCTAAGTCTGCCTTCTGTGGCTGTCTAACAGACAGCCACTAGAGGGCTTCTGGAATCCAAACCGACCTTTGGTCGGTTATCTGACGCTGGACATCCATGGACCTCCAGCGTCAGATTTTCCCCATAGGAAAGCATTGAATAATGCTTTCCTATGGGGAGGTCTAATGCGCGCGACCATTGCCACGCATGCTTATTAGGTTTCCCCCACCGGCTCAGAGCCTGACCCAGCGCCGAAGGACATTGGCGCTGGATTCAGGTAAGCAGCTGGAGGTGTTTTAACCCCTTCAGTGACATGGTATGGGGGGTGGGAGGGCACTGCAGAATTCTGCAGTGCCAGGAAAACAGGTTTGTTTTCCTGGCACTGGAGAGTTCCTTTAACATAACATTTCAGTTTTCATTGGTTTCCATGGAGTTGATGTGCCTTCCCCAATACAATAGAGACATCCTTAGTGAGTGCATAATTGGGGAAGGAGGGGAAATTAAAAGAGTTGGAGGACCAGCTTTCTAAAGGTTACATATAATTTGAATTTAGTTGGTAGTGTTATGGACCAAAGGAGTCGGACAATCTACACATTCCTATAAGATGTTGCTAATTTTTCCTGTGTGGTTTTCCACATTTCCGCACCCAGAAGCTAACAAAGCTACCACAAAAACAAGTTTACGCTAACCCAGCAGGGCTTTAAAAATTTGTTTAGAATCTAGGAGTCAGCTAAAAAAAAAAAAAAAAAAATTAGGAACCAGTTTTTTTTGTAAACTAATTTTAAGTTTAATTTTCACAGAGAAAATTGCAATTCTTAAGTGACACTATAGACACCAGAACCACTACAGGTTAATAAAATTGTTCTGGTATCTATAGCCTGTACCTGCAGACCTTTCAATGTAAACATTGCTTTTTCAGTGGGAGTGGGAAAAAAGGTGAGTAAAAACACTTTTCTCATGCCATTGGAGGGGACAGCTACCTTAACTGACAGAGACACACACTGACAGAGACACACACTGACAGAGACACACACTGACAGAGACACACACTGACAGAGACACACACTGACAGAGACACACACTGACAGAGACACAAACTGAGATTTTTATTTTAATTCATATCCACTCAGCCTCCCTACCTTTGGGAGAGCTAAGGAGATCTTTCCCTGGGGTCCAGTGGGGCTGCATTCTCTTCCTGCATGCGAGGGAGCAGTAATCTAACTGCAGCATCTCTCTGCCCCTTCTCGCTCTCTGTAATGATGCCGGGGCCAGAGTGATGTCATATTCCGGCTCCTGGCATCATTAAACAGCGCACAAGAGAGCAAAGAAGAGCTGCAGTTGGATTACTGCTCCCTCGCTCACCGCCTACAATGCCCCCACTCCCATGTCTCCGCAGGTGACTGCCTTAAAGGGCTGACATTCTAGTCCCCATGGCAACCTGGGATTTGTGAAGCCTTGCTCTAACCTCATGTAAAGGGATCTGATAGTTTGAAAAGTATGAAAGCCCAGTGATCAAATAAGAAAAACTCCTGGATGATGTAATTAAAGGGACACTTTAGTCATGTTATTTGCTTCAGCTCAAACTGGTTATATTGTCTAGAATTCCCTGTTGTCATGATTGAATTCAGCATTAAACAGTTTATGTTTTTATGTTTTAATGCTAAATGAGAGACCCCGGCAGCCCATACCTGAGCAGCAATGGGCAGCTGTGATTGGCTGAAAGTGTCAACTGACTGATTTTAGCCTATCAGAGGTCCAACTGACAGTATAAAGGGTACCACTACAAGGAAGTGTATAACCTTTGTTAGTGGCACCTCAAGAAGGGGCCGGATTCTGGGTAGCCAGGGATCCCTATTTAGTGTTACCCTGCTCTAAAATGGTTTAAAACAGAATGGAGGAATAGTGACTACAGTTTACCTTTAATGAAGTTCACCACCTCTTCTTATCTCAAAACCAAACTGGGAAATAAACACCAAGAGTGAAGGCGGGTATCCCAAAAACACTGTTTCCAACACATATGATTTGGTATCTCATGCATACAGTGCAGTTTAGGAATTGGCAAATTACAACCTGAACATTATTTAAAATGTTCGCGCTTTTTAGTTTATAGAGCAAGAATGTAAAGATGTGGAAAGCAAATTCAATCCTCACGGTATGCAGAGGAGCCATGTTGTTTCCATGCTGTTACATACAGTAAGGAAAGTTGAGAAGATCAAATGGACAGGACAGGTGTCTGGAGACAGACATTTATTTAGAGTCAATCTAGTTAGACTTGTTTGTCACACCACAGAAGAGGAGACAAAGCTGTTCAAAGGAACACTAAATACTGATGGTAAATCTTGATGGCTGTTAGTCCAATCTAAAGTGGATTTGGTGTTTAGTTGCCCTTTAACTTTTTTTTGAACAGATCAAATGGCTTAAAGGACCACTATAGGCAACCAGACCACTTCAGCTCAATGAAATGATCTGGGTGCCAAATCCATCTAGGATTAACCCTGCCTGCTGTAAACATAGTTTCAGAGAAACTGCTATGTTTACCTATGGGTTAATCCAGCCTCTAGTGGCTCTCTCATTGACAGCCGCTAGAGGCGCTTCTCACTGATTTTCACAGTGAGAAGACGCCAGCGTCCATAGGAAAGCATTGAGAATGCATGCGCATTCAGCCGATGACATCAGAACAGGGTGGAGAGTCCTAGCACAAATGGAGCCCAATGCTGGAAAAAAGGTAAGGGATTAACCCCCTCCATCCCCCTTCAGCGCAGCGGGAGTGGGACCCTATGGTTGGGGGCACCCTCAGGGCACTATAGTGGTCCTTTAAGCAAACTAACATGAGTAATATCTTTATAGGAGTGTTCTGAAAAAGGCAAGTGTGCCAAATAAATCCACTGTCCTTAAATTAGTAGTCCAAGCACCATAACCACTACATGTGAATGCAGTGCTTATGGTGCCATTAGGCTGCAGGCCCTTTCTCCCAGGTTTTGGTCAAACAGTTTGAGGTGCTTGACCAAAGCTAGAGATCCCAGAGGCCTGGTCTTTTACTCACCTATTGTCAATGTGAAGTAATATTTCCACAATAGCAATATACAATTCAGATATTTAACCCCTTAAGGACACAACATGTGTGACATGTCATGATTCCCTTTTATTCCAGAAGTTTAGTGCTTAAAGGGTTAAACACAAATATAAAAGACCCTTGAAAATATTAGGTCCCGTGAAGATAAAAAGGAAAAAAACTGAACTGGATAGGGGAAGGATTTCCCTGAAAATGTGCAGCTGATGTAGTGGTAGTACTGCTGCCTTCTCCAGGCCAAATTAAAGAATTCAAGAATTCTGCACAATAAATATTGGTGCCAAGAGTGCCCCCAATGTAAGTGGTCAAACCAATTACTAATGGTTGTTAGTCACTTCTTCTATTAGAGTATTTGCACTGAGCTAACAAGGAAGTGCAATGGCTTAGCTTATGAGTTTAGCGCAGGGGGGCCAACAGAAGCACCAGAAAGTAAATGGTTTAATTTAAAAGGGACACACTAAGCACCAAAATAACTTTAGCTTAACCCCTTGGTGACCGCAGACATATCAGGTACGTCTGACAAAAAAAACAAAAAACCCGATATGTCCGCGGCAAATGTGAGCGCTGGAAGAGATTGTGATCGCTTCCAGTCGCTCTAATGGTATTGCAGCGATGCCTCGGCATCCTGCAATAAATCTCCTGATTGCCGAGCCGCCGGATGATCGCTCCCGGGTTGCCCCATGTGGCACCCGGCAGTGTAGCAGAGCATCGGAAGCCATCGGGCAGGCTTCGGATGCTCTGCCTGTGTGCCGAGTGAAGAATAAATTAAATAAAATAATTCATTTAAAAAAAAAAAAAAAAAGTATTATTCCCAGCCCCCCCCTCCCTCCCACAGCCATTTGGCTTCCAATATGGCGCTGCCTTTCTACAGTGTATCATTAGGCTCCTTGTGGTGTGCCTAGGTCATCCAATCAGAGCTTGCCCCTATAACAATGTTTATTATAACTATGATCCCCATTTGTCTTATCAGGTCAATATTAAATATTGACTCTGATCAGTGTGGACCTCCCTCCCTCTCTTCACTTGTGTAGGTAGGGAGATTTAGGTAGTTTTAGGTAGCGATTTGTAAAATTATGAGACTCAAAGGCTCTTTTAAGAACCATTAACCCCTATCTTGCCAGTGATCACTATACTGGAGATCATTGGCTCTTGCACATTAGTACTCTTTTGCGGTCTGTGCATTTTTTAGGGGTTCATTTTTCTTGATACACCCAAAAGCTCTCTTCAGAGCTATTAACCCTTATCCTGCCAGTGATCAATCACTGTATAGATCACTGACTCTTGCACAGCAGCACTTATTTTGCGGTCTGTGCATTTTTTTTTTTTTAGGGGTTCATTTTTAAGTGATTTTTTTTGTGGCAGATCACTAAATAAAGTTATTGTGATCATGTCACAGAGGTTGTATAGCGCTGAGGAGGCGTATGACATACTTGCGTTAGAGTCTGACGTGTAGGTCAGACTCTGACCGGTGCTCAGATACATCACTAGATACAGTGTCTGCTGTTAGTGATGTATCTAGTTATGATGCATCTGTGGCTGCTAGTCCCCCTGCCAGAAGGAGAGGAGCTTCTCCAGCTGGCAGTGCTGCTGAGGAGTGGGTAGCGCCTCATCGCCAGAGGCTAGATATCCCACCCTTCACCGCAAATCCTGGCATCAATGTGGATGTCGCAGGATTTAGCCCCCAAGAGTTAACGGAGGTGTTTCTGGGCGATGATGTATTGGAGAACATTGTCGCCCAAACTAATATGTCCATCAGTTCCGTGCTGCAAAGCCAGAGTCTTTTTTGGCCAAGCAGCAATGGACCCCCATCGATGTGCCAGAATTTTAAAAATTCTGGGCATTGGCTATGCGAATGGGCATCATAAAGAAGCCCACCATCTGCTCTTCCCCCATTTACTCCCAATGTATGTCAAGGAAGAGGTATGAAATGATTCTACATTTCATACACTTCAGTGACAACAGCCTGTGCCTTCCTAGGGAGCACCACCAGTGTGACAGGCTGTATAAAATCCACCCCCTGATTACCCACTTCGCTGCCAGGTTTGCAGAGGCTTATACACCTGGAAGGTATTTATGCGTGTATGAAACCCTGATGAAGGATAAGAGAAGGTTGGGATTCAAGCAGTATATTCCTTCCAAGCGCTCTAGGTATGGTGTAAAGGTGTATTATCTCCGAGAGCAAGACTGGGTATACTCAGGCCTCCCGGGTGTACGAGGGAAAGGATAGCCACCTTGACCCTCCATGTTGCCCAGAACATATGGAAACCAGTGGCAAGATTGTCTGGGACCTGATATTCCCCCTAATGAACAAAGGGTACCACTTGTACACAGACAATTTTTATCCAAGTGTCCCTTTGTTCAAGCTGTTGTATTGTTCTGACAAAGTATCTTGCGGTACTGTGTCTGTGCAGGTTTCCCAGGACAACTTGCACGCACTTGGCTATGAAGGGGGGAGACCTCAGCTCTGCACCAAGAGGAGCTGTTGGCAGTTAAGTACAGAGACAAGTAGGATGTGTACCTTCTTACCACCATACCACCTGCACAGGTTTCCCAGGACAACTTGCACGCACTCTGCTACGAAGGGAGGATACGTCAGCTCTGCGCCAAGAGGAGCTGTTGGCAGTTAAGTGCAGAGACAAGAAGGTTCTTACCACCATCCACACTGAGAGGACTCTCTGTACGTGGCAGAGCTGAGAGCACAAGGAAGCCACAGTGCATCAAGGCCTATAACCGGCATATGGGTGGGGTTGATCTGGCAGATCAGCTGCTGCAGCCCTACCTAATTATATGGAAAACAAGGGCCTGGTACAAAAAGGTTGCAATCTACTTAATGCAGATTGCAATTAACAATGCTTCCTTGTGCAAAAAAAAAAACACCCCGGAATGCAACTGACTTTTTTACAGTTTCAACTCCAGATCATTTCGGAGATTTTGTACCATGGTGCACCTGTTTCCCGGGTGGTGATGGGAGAAAGCAGAGTTGGGGCTATACATCTTATTTTATATATCCCTCCTACTGCGGCAAGCAAAATCCTGAAAGAAAATGCAGAGTCTGTTTCAAGAGGGGGCAAGACACAGTCTTTAACTGTCCTGATTTACCTGGGCAGCCTGGACTCTGCATCGGGGACTGCTTCAAGCGATATCACACACTGGTTCATTTTAAAAAAAACATTTTACATTTGCCTTCAGTTTTGGGGTTGTTTTGGTTATGTTTACTGTTCCTGAGTGTTTTTTTTACTTTTACTGTGCCAGACTATTTTTATGATCAAGTTCAACCTATTCAAGAGTGTACTCAGGAGGTCTTGCAGTAAACAACCTGGAGTGTTTTCTTGCATTAACTGACAACAGTTTCCCTAAATCACAGTCAAAAAAGCAATGTGTGTGTAAAAATGAAAATTGACAAATTACCACCACACATTTTCTCCAATTTTTTTGGCTAAAACGGTTGCATCAAAGGCATCAAAACACTTCATATGCAATACCTTGGGGTGTCTACATTTCAAATATATGCACGTTCATGGCAAGAAAATAAATTGGGTTGGTTGTGTAAAAAGGCCCCCAAAAAGAAGATAGGCAAAGATATGTAAAATGTGAAAAACACATGTCAAAGGTTTTGCATTGCACCCCTCCAAACAACCCAACAAACATATGCATAGGTAGTATCACTGTACTCAGGAGATATTGCTGAACACATATTGGGGTGTTCTTTGGTACTAATACAGAACAGGAGATGAGAATCCATGCCTAAAGTACAATGTGTTTGAAAAATAACAAAATAAAAATGACTACCCAAAAGGTTGACAGAAGACTGGTGGTAGAATTAGTGCATGCAAAGTGTTAAACTACCACCATTTTAAATACCCTAGGTTGTCTACTTTTCAAAAAAAAATAGTTTGACGGAGGTAAATTACATTGACTGGCTTCAAAAATGTTCCAAATAGGACATGGGGGCATGGTGACCAGCCGGGAAAATGCCAAGTTGGAAAACTGAAATGCGCACCTTCCAAATAAGGTATTTTAGCCCCCAGAGAACCCGACACACCCATACATGGGTGGTATCACTGTACTCAGGAGATGTTGCTGAACACATATTGGGTTGTTCTTTGGCAGTAACCCTTAAAGTTCTCAGTACATGTATTCTTAAATTGCTATGTGTGTCAAAAAAATCATATTTATTTTTTTAATTTGGCATAGATTGGTGGTAAAAGGATTGCATGAAAACAGTCAAAATACCCCAAGTTTAATACTTTAGCATGTCTTTTAAAAAAAATATAAACATGTGAAGAGTTATTCAGGGATTCCCGACAGATATTAATGCTACAATGTACCTTTTGTTAAGTTTGAACAAAAATGGTAAAATGGTAATGGTAAAATGGTTTGGAAATAGCAAAGTGCTACCATATAACTGGCAAAAAAGCCAATAAAGTTAGTTTTGCGTTCCAGGATGGTTGCGCATGCATGATGTGGCCGCCCAGGCGTCATGACGTATGATGCGATCACCAGATAAGAGGCACGGACCGGCGGATTTAAAAAAGGGAAGAGAATACAGAAGCTCCTGAGGAAGTCAGATCGACGAAACACGTAGAGCTCTATCAAGTATACCCTGTCACTTGGTATAAGCAGATTGTGAAGCACCTTTACTTTTATTATTTGCACTTTTCAGTTGAGCTATTGTGTGCTGTAAAGGAAGTTGATGCTAGCTGTCATTCAAGCAGCAATCAAAGCACTTTATTCACTATCCTTTACTTGAACTATCTTGCACTTTTGCACTTTATCCATTTGTGCCATGATCTCTGTGCTGTGAAGATCTTTTGCTGTGAGCTGCTATCTAAAGGGTTTTATGCCTATGTAGGCTTTGTATTGTGATTGTTGCACATTTTTGTGCTGCTGCTTAATATATATGTTTTAATTTTCATGTTCTAATAAACTGTACATTGTTTTACTAATTGTTTTTTCGCTCTTTCCTTTGTTGAGAATACGGACTACAAAGCTGGTAAATATAGTGACTGTGGTGCCATTATTTTCTTTACATTGTGTCTTTATGTTTTAGAAGGTTAAGAGTAACCTTTAGACAGATGCTTGCCTGCACTTATTTATTATCACTCACTCCACCCATCCACTAAAGTAAAGGAGTAAGAGGACAATTACAGCTAAACAAAAACACAGCAGAAATGTAAAAAGAGCCCTGGACCTTAACGGTAAGAAAATTGAAGGGAAAACCCCCCCAAAAATGGTCTGGTCACTAAGGGGTTAAACACAAGCTTTGGTGTATAGGTCATGCTGCTGAAGCCTCACTGCTCAATTATCTGCCATTTAGAAGTTGCATTACTTTGTTTAGCTAATTACATAGGGTGTACTGTTAATTGCCTGTTACAGTCCCTTGTGTGTTAGTAAAGATTCAATTAACACAGTAGGTGATACCATTTCTAAATAAGGCACATGGAGGCTGTGAGTCACAGCCAGTTTTGGTGTGGCTAGGTTTGCATAAACAGAAACAAAAGTGATTTAACTCCTAAATGGCAGAGAATTGAGCAGTGAGACCGCTTTGGCATGAGCTATACACCAAAACTGCTTTATGAAGCTAAAGTTGTTTTGGTGCTCATCTGTTGCAAAATCCAAACCTTTCCAAGTCTCCTAAGGTTGATACTTACCTTAAGGTTTTATCTGTTCCCACAGATAAGGCCAGTTTCCCAGAAGGATGGATGGAAAGAGAAGAGACCTGTCCCCTGCAGAAATTTAGGAAAAATAAATCAATATTTTCATAATTTGAAATCAGAATTTCTTCATTTCAATGAGAAGGCAGTTATTTCATTCAAAAATCATATGCATTTGAAATTGTAATATTTTCTGATAAACCTATCGAACAAAACTAGGCAGGCTATTCTAGCATAGAAAATTATATAATTTATATATATATATATATATATATATATATATATATATATATATATATATATATATATATATATATATATATATATATATATATATATATATATATATACATACACACACACACACACACACACCATATAAAATATACAACCTCTTAGGATATAGATAATCTAAAAAAAAAAAAAAAAAGCACAAAAACACAGTTATGTATAAGCGGAGGGGGGGAGGGGAGGTAGAGCACTCACAAGATGTCTAATGAATAGTAGGCATGTCTCTCCTCAGGTTTATCACTCAAATTTGAAGTCTGGTTCCAATTGTACTTTAGTAGTATTAGTAGTAACATTTCTGGTAATAAAGAGATAATAGATAGTACAGTATAGTTTGAACAAATTTTAATTTAGTAAATTATTGCACTTACAGACACATAGAAAAGCTGGGCAGGTCTCCACAATAAGTGACCTCAGGAACTGAAGAATCTTATATAGTTCCACCAAGGAAAATAGCAGCAAACATGAAAATCACTAAAAAATAGAAAGATCTAACAAAGTCCAACACCCAACACGTTTCCTCCCTCTCACTGAAGAGGTCCCCCGGAGAGGGACGAAATGAGCTGGATGTTGGACTTTTATATTAGTGCTTTTCAGGTTTGCTGTTATTTTCCTTGGTGGAACTATATAAGATTCTTCAGTTCCTGAGGTCACTTATTGTGGAGACATGCCCATCTTTTCTGTGTGTAAGTGCAATTATTTACTAAATTAAAATTTATACAAACTATACTGTACTATTATCTCTTCATTATCAGAAATGTTACTACTAAAGCACTATTGTAACCAATTCAAATTTGAGTGAGGAGAGATGTGCCTTCTATTCACTGACATCTTGAGAGTGCTCTACCTCCCCTCCCCCGTGCTTATACGTAAAACTGTGCTACACTATTTTGTGTTTTTTCTTTTTTAGATTATCTATATCCTAAGAGGTTGTATGTTCATAATTTATATTAAATGGTTCATATTATTTAGTTCATATTGGTTAATATGTATAATTATTTTCTGTTATATGCTAATAGGGTGTGCGTGAGAAACCTCATGTGAGCTCTTGTTTTATACAGAGTGATTTTCTTTAAATTGTAGACTATTCTAACAGGCTGAATTAGCGTCTGTCAACTGCTGATTGGTTGAGAGCCGCTGCCAGATTCTGCAAAAGTCTTCCTGTTTAGAGATTTTTAGAAAACAGAAGAAGATCAGAAAGCAGTGGGATTCAGAGCTGGAACAAAAACTTGTGAGTTAAACCATTTAAGACCTTAAGATGAACCAGTACAAGGTACCTCCTGGCACCACTACAACATAATTTCAATGAAATTGCTATGGTGCCCAGAGTGTGTTTTGTTTTTGTTAAATCCTGCCTATATAATCCCATACCTTATAATCAAATATCTAAAGCAAGCAAGCTTCCTTCTTTATAAGAAGATTCTTCAGTGTTGACTTGATAGCATTTTTCTTTGGACATTGAAATATAGGTTTTCTATTTTTAAGAATTTCAGGAAAGTTTCAGTATATATAAAATATGTAAATTGTGACAAACCAAATAGGCAGCAAGAAACCAAACGTTCAACTGTGGGTATCACTTTCCTTAACAGCTGCTTTCAGTACTCATGAGCTGTAACATATAGTTCAAGCACCACGACCACTTCAGTAACTTGACCCTGCTGCAACCGGAAATGTAACTCCTCCTTAAGCACATGCACAGAACTGACATTAGCCAGACCGGAACCAAGTATCAGTTCTGTGCATGTTTTGTGTCTTTAGTCAGCACACACAGCAATAGACATAAATTGTAGCACCCATATCCTCCATGCTACCCATGTCCACCTCTCAGCCTGCCCTCCCTGGCATCCAGCTTCCACAAGTGAGGTTGCAAGACACCAGCAGAGGAGAACTTGTCCATGGTGCTAGAATGGAAGTTAATTTGATCAGTTTTCCTTCTCAAACCAAAAACCAGTGTTTTCTGAAATGGGCAGTCTATTTACTTTGTGTACATAACAGTTCTCCATGTTAGGGATCGACCGATATTGATTCTTTAGAGCAGATACCAATAATCTGCAAACTTTCAGGTGGATAGTTTACAGATATTCTGTACATTTACCGTTTTGAGAAAAAAACATTTTTTGCTAATTGTTTTTTTATTTAGTGGTAAATGCACAAAATATACATGCCAGTCAGATTTTTTTTTATGTTTTCAAGAATGTGTGTGTGTGTGTGTGTGTGTGTGTGTGTGTGTAGTGGATGGATTGAGAGTATTTGATTAGTAAATGTAGTGTGTGCTTGTGTAGTGGATGCAGTGTGTTTGTGTGTAAATATGTGCGGTAGGAACTCCCCCCCTCCCCCTAAATATTCCTTTCCCTTCTCTTTTTGCCCCCCTCCTCCCCCCGACCCTCAACCAAGTGTTCCTTTTCCCTGTACCATAGTGCCCTACCTTAATGTTCCCCTCTCTCCCCCCGTAGCGTTTTTTTCCTTCCCCCTGCCCCATAGCATTCTTTCCTTCCCCCCCAGAAGAAGTGGATATGGTACTGTCTGGAGTAAGCCCAGAGCTTAGCACAGTTTATGAGACTGATCAGTTAACACTCTCAGACAATGAACAAACCCCGCTCAAGAGCTTCTGACTCTCCACATTAAATAGTGGAAGTGGGGGCATAGCCTGGCATACTACAGGTAAAAGGCCAGATTAAAGCTGTAGTGGTTATGGTGTTTAAAATGTTTTGGTTCTTTGTTCTTTTAATGACATATCCCATTTCAAATCTCAGAACAAACACTAAACAGAGTCCAACTCACGTGTGAGCTTTGAAGGTTTTCTGGCATTCCCATTTCTTAGTATTCCATACACAAATCAATCCATCTTCAGCCCCACTGAGAAGGTGTGTGTTACCATAAAATTCTAAGCATGTGATTGTACCTGATGATACAAATTTTAAAAGTGAGCAATTAGGGCTAGAAAATTATATTACACAAAAAAAGATTAAACAATATTCTAAAACATTAACTACAAATACCTTTTAACAGCAAGTAGTCAATAAAAGCCACACACACCTTTAATTCACAAATCAAACAGTTAACTACCTTTTCCTATACTTGCCTGATTTTATATATATATATGGAGAGGGGAGGAGAGGGAGACACATCTATCTATATATCTATCTTGCTTTTCCCACACAAATCACAAATCTGCAGTGATGTTACTACTGCAAAGGATTCTGAGTGGGCATATGTAATTTAGTTTAACAAATAATCACATTTTTGCCTCATTCCATTTTAAACATGGATTCCTTTGAGTTTGAGGTTGCTGTATACAACAGCTTTGAAACACAACTTAGGAAAAGATGCAAAGCCAGTGAACCATTCATGGACAGCTGTTTCATTGTTAATGCAAATAATCAGCATGAGGTTGGTTACTGGCTTGCTTATTGAGGTTTGGTAATGCTTGGGAAGCAAAAACAATATAACAGATATTTAATTTTTAGATTTATTTTCTGGGTCTTTCACTCTAACTCTACTATAGGCACTATTTATTTAAAAAAAACTATAGCTTTAGGAAACAAACCTGTCTCTGTCCCTAGATCTATACAGGTGCCTCCCCCATTTGCAAAAAATTTTTTATATTAAATAAATGATAAAAGTTTTACTTACCATCTTTCTAGCACCAAGAAGCCCCTTGCACTGCTCAACTTTCTGCCTCCCGCAACATCATTAAAAAGGCATAGCCTCCTCTGTGATAATCCAATCTAATGCTACTCAAAAAGAAACATTGGGGACCTAATGTGCATGCACGACGAGTACTGTGTGCATTCAGGCTTCCCCCATAGGAAAGTAGTGATTCAAAGCTTTCCTTCAGGCTTCCATCTCATATGCAGCAGAAGCACCCCTAGAGGCCATAAGCTTGACAGCCACGAGGGGAGTATAGAACCATGCAATATAAATATTGCAGAAAAACAAAACAAAAAAAACAGCAATGTTACACATTGTGGTGTTAAAAGGACAGTCCATAGCACCCAGACGACTTCATTAAGATGAAGTGGCCAGGGTGACTATAGTGTTCCTTTAAAGAGGCAGTGTCAGCACCATAACCACTATAAAATTTTGAAATAGTTATGGTGTCAGGAGACATCTGGTGCAGTTCCTGTGTTAAGAGTCAAACCATCTTTTAACCATTTGACACTGGGTCCCTCATGTGTCCATAGCTCTTCACAGACATTACTAACATTGAGTGCTCAAAATATCACAAAGGCCAATTATTTTTATGAACAAAATCTGCAATGAAGTGCAAAGTATGCACTGTATGAGTATACTAGTTAAGACCTTTTGGTAAAAGTGTATTGGCAGCACTACACATGGTATAGCTCTGCCCCCTTCCACACTGGACAGGAACACCTAATTAAAACGAGAGACTCCTCCTCCTACGCCTCAGTCTTTTTTCCTGTCCACTTCACTTTGGACACAGGATGCTTTGCACCTCTTTTGTGACTTACATGGGTCATCCATACCCCAATTCCTTGGGAAGTTCAGCCTCTCATCCCTTGGAAGCCTCAGGATAAGGCGCCTAACCAAGGGCGACCCCCTGGGGGGAGTCTTCCCTTAGCGACCGGGGAGCATATGCTGCAGTAACCATATAGGTAGGAGCTTGATGTGCCAGGCGTACTACGGTGGTAATGTCCCTTCTATGGGTACACCTGATAAGTCTTGGATATTTGGGTTCTTGGCTCTCTCTTTACAGGCGGCAATTCCCTACACGGGTACACCTACCTGGACATGTCATGGCCCATGTAAAGCCAGGTATTGGTCCCTTAGGGGATGAAGCAATGAAGGCTGGTCTGGGGATCATCTTTACTATCTCATGTAAAGTTGCAGGCTTATTAAGATTCTCCCTGTGTGACCTCTCACCTTTCTTTACCTAGTTGCTGTGTGGTTGGGGGTTTGTGTATGCGTCCCAGTGGTTAAACGCAAGCTGGAACGCACACCAGAACCCGTGCGTAATGACTTGCATGCGCAGAAGGTAGCGCGTCATTTCTGTTTCTACCAGTTCCACAAGTACTTGGTGGAACGCAATAACGCCGGAAGTGACGTCGTTCCGGCTCTATTTTTTGCGGTCCTAATCTCCACAGGTTCCTGGCAAAAATACTTGGCTTTTGTCAATAGATAGTGGTTAGGTATGGTCTTCATTTTCTTTCTGCTGCAGGTCAGTTGATTTCCTTTCCTTTGGTTTCTCTTTTAATCCACTTATATTGTTGAAGTTTGGATAGAGGCTTTTTTTTTGCTTTTTTAAGCTAGAAATATTATTTATTTTCTAGCTGCCCAATCTCATGGAGTCCCCAGGCCACTCATCTACAAATAGGTTGCATTCTCTAAGTAAGTCACTGGTATTTTATTTTCTATTTATATTCATACAGTTAAATATTTAAGAGTGCGCATTCCTCCTATCCCAATATGGATTCTCAGTTCTGCTCATAGATCCTACTTCAAGAAAAGGAAGGGCAAGACTCCTTTATGTGAAGCATGTGATAAGGCTATTCCACTGCATATCCTGTTTAAATGCAGCGGCAGGTCATAAAGAATCGGCTCCTGATGTTTTAGCCTATATCCATCAAGCTGTTACGGAGGGTCTACAACAAGCAGAAAAAAATAGAAAAAGATCTTTCAGTCCTGAATTGAACCCAGATTGAAGTTTAGACGAGGGAATGCCTCCAGTATATGGTACGGAGGAATTTTCATCTTCAGAGGAAGATATGCCTTCTAATCCAGCTTTCATGGATAGTAAGAAAATTGAAGCTCTTAAGTAGAGATGTCGAACTGTCCGCCGGCGAACAATAGCGTGTTCGCGTTGGACGAACATATGCGATTTCCGGTCCGCCCCCTATTCGTCATCATTGAGTACACTTTGACCCGGAACCTCACAGTCAGCAGACACTTCCTGGGAGGGAGGGAGGGTCTGCTGCTGATTGGCTGGAATGTGTCTGCTGACTGTGAGGTTCCGGGTCAAAGTGTACTCAATGATGACGAATAAGGGGCAGACCGGAAATCGCATATGTTCGCCCAACGCGAAGACGCTATTGTTCGCCGGCGGACAGTTCGCGACATCTCTACTCTTTAGGCAGTTCAGAACATACTTGATTTGAAGGATAAGAAAGAAGAGCAACCGGCCTCTAGCAAACATTTTGAAGACTTGAGGAAACAGAACCTGACTTTTCCATTTTACAAAACTATTGAGGATCTGAGGAATGGAGGAAGACTGAGAAAAAAAAAAAAAAAAAGTCTCCTTGCAAGGCCGGCTTTCTAAACTATACATTTAAGCCTCCTGATTGTGCTCCATGGGACTCGGCTCCCAAAGTTGATGCAGCCATTATTCGTCTGGCCAAGACGACCACCTTACCAATTGATGATGGAGGATCATTTAGAGATCCAATGGATAGAAGAATGGATTCCAACTTGTGTAAAGCCTATATTTCCTCTGGTTCTGGCCTTTGTCCTGATGAGGACTTGACATCTGTCTCTAGGGCCCTAAGGTAGTGGTTAGAAGACCTCGAGGAGGATATTTCCCATGGGGTCAGCCGATATAGAATTTTGGATCCTTTAAAGAACTTCAGAATGGCCACTGAATTTACATCTGATGCTTGTATTGATTGAGTCCCTGTCTAGCTTGGTATTGTCAGTAGCCTCATGACGAGCTCAGAAATTTCTGAGCTTGTCACAATGCTCGTCATGAGGCTACCGACAAGACCAAGCTAGACAGGGACTCAATCAATACAAGCATCAGATGTAAATTCAGATGTCCAAACAGCATATCCACTTGATGGGTAAGGGCACAGAAGCTATTCTTAGAAGCTGAGTCCGCTTCTAAGAATAGCTTATGTGCCCTTCCCCATCAAAGGTATATGCTGTTTGGAAAACATTTGGATGAATGCATCAAAAGGGCAGTGGAAGAGCGGAAAGCTGTTCTTCCTCAAGATAGAAGGCAAAAAAAGAAGATATTTTCTATAAGACAGACGCTGCTTTCGTGATAAGGATCATAGAAGGTACAGACCAGGGAAAGAATTTTCCAGATTCCAATCATGGAAGGGTGGTTTCTCCTCCTCCAAAAAATGGGAGTACCAGGCAACCTAACCAATTCTGATGGGGCGCCAGACCAGCCCCGGGGGAGCAGGAGCAAGACTTCTGGACTTCTCGGAGATCTGGGCTAACAATGTTCCAGACAAATGGGGCTTAAAAATTGTAAGTACGGGATATTTCCTGGAATTCTCCATTCCTTTCCCTCGATTCTTGCAAACCAGAATGCCTCAAGATCCAGTACAGGCAAAAGCGCTCCATTCATTTGTGGCTTCTCTCCCAGCAGATATAGTCATTTGTCAAGTTCCTTTAGGAGAAAAGAAAGACTGGGGTATTACTCAAGGCTTTTTCTAACTCCGAAAGCATCTGGGTAATGGAGGCCAATTTTAGACTTTCACAATCTCAAGAAAGGATGGTTTGTCAAAAAAATTCAAAATGGAATCCATCAGTTCCATCATCAAGGTGATCTCTCCATAGGATTGGATGATCTCCATAGATCTTCAGGATGCCTACTTTCATGTACCGAGCACCATTCCTCACCAGAAACTCCTCAGATTTACAGTAAATCAGCAGCATTACCAAATCCGGGCTCTTCCCTTCGCCTAAGCACTGCTCCCAGAACCTTCTCAAAGATTCTAATTTCCTAGCCATTTTCTATTACCTGGTGGATATTCTAGTCCTCTCCAATGACAAAATGTCAACTGACTCTCCATCGAGATCTTTTCCTTCTTCAGAAGTTCAGCTGGATAGTCAACCTCAAGAAGTCAGCTCTCTCCATGTCAGGTAATGGTATACCTAGATGCAAGGGCATCACTATCCTTGGAAAGAGGTCTAAGACTCTGGTTGAAAATTCTCTAGCTGATTCATCAGTCTGGTCCAGCAAGAGAAGTCATGAGCCTCTTACAGAGTCTTTCATTGACAAAAGGGCTTACGAGATGACCACAGAGGCACATGAGAACTCCTCAAATAGAGTCCCTATACCAATATTCGAACAAGGACCTGAGTCAGCCTATTCTTATTTCAGACAAAGTCAAGAAAGAGCTGTTATGTGGCTGACCGATCAAAACATTTATCGAGGATTTCCTCTGGGATCAATCCCTTGGATGATGTTAACCACAGATGCCTGTCAGTCAGGTTGGGGTGCACACTTGGGTTCACAACACCTCCAGGGTTTATGGAAAAGCAGATGGAAACACCAATCTTCGAATATCCTGGAATTCCGAGCTGTATTCCAAGCACTTCTCCGGTTTCTATCCCTGAGATATCAATGGGTAAAGGTAATAGCCAATACTTCAGCAGTAGCCTATCTCAACCACCAAGGAGGGACGAAAAGCAGGGATCTAATGGCAATTATTCTCCCTCTTATGACTTGGGCAGAAACTAATCTAAAGGGCATCAAGGCGGTTTATCTACCTGGCAAGGACAACCTATTGGCAGATTACCTGAGCAGAGTGAGAATAGATCCATCGGAATTGTCTCTCTCTTCCCAAGCATTCAAGTGCATAGTCCAGAAATGGGGCCTTCCACAAGTAGACTTGATGGCAACATCTCAAAACAGCAAGGTGAGAAGGTTCTGCTCACGTTTCTTCGACCCTTTGGCGACAGTCAGGGAAGCAAGTGGAAGTTCCTTCTGGGGTATGTGTTTCCCCCAACGCCTCATTTTTCCTCTGTTGAAGAGAATCCAACAAGAACCTGTGATTATTCTAGCAATAATTCCGTATTGGCCCAGACGACCATGGTTCCCTCTGCTTCAGAAATTATCCCAGGATCTCCCTCTAGATCTGTAATTTTAACACCAGTTATTCCTCCAAGGTCCAGTCTTTCATCCTGCACCCCAGACTTTGAAGTTGATAGGCAACGACTCAAAGAAAGGCTTCTCAGTATCAGTTGTCGATACTTTGCTTAAAGCAAGAAAGAAATCAACATCCTTGGCATATTACCTTATTTGGAGTATTTTCTGCGGCTGGTGTCATATTCATGAAATTTCTCTCAGCTTCCAGGTATAAGCAACATCCATCAGTTCCTTGAGGCAAGATTTGATATAGGCCTTAGTCTTAGCACCCTTAAAGGGCAAATCTTCGCTCTCTCCATCCTCTTGGACAAAAAGGTTGGCTTTTGAGCCAGATATTTGTAGATATTTTCATGCAATCCTGAAATTGCGTCCTCCGGTAAGATCTTGCTCTCCTCCCTGGGACTTGCCTCTGGTAAGCTTTGTCTGGTACTCCATTTGAGCCCCTAGAGCAGGCATAGGCAACCTTTGGCACTCCAGATGTTTTGGACTACACCTCCCATGATTCTTTGACAGCATGATGGGTGTAAGAGCATTATGGGGGGTGCCGAATGTTGCCTAGCCCTGCTCTAGAGCATACTGCCTTATTGACTTTAACAGTGAAAACAGTTATTCTGGTGGCTCTTACATCAGGTAGAAAGATTTCAGAGCTTCAGGCTCTTTCGTGTGAATCTCTTTTCCTTATACTGCAAGAGGATAGTTATTCTTCGGACTAATACAACCTTTCATCCTAAGTTCAGGTCTTCTTTCCAAATTAACCAGGATATTGTCTTACCTGCATTCTTCCCTCATCTTTCATCCGAAGAGGAAATGAAATGGCAATGTCTGGACTTGGTCAGTTGTATTTCCATTTACCTGACAAGTACTTCTGGCATTAGAAAATGATCTAGCCTCTATCATTCCTTCTGTTCATCATATGGGACCAGCGGCTTCTGCAGCAACTATTGGTCGCAGGATAATCACAGCAATTTCTCAAGCATATGAGGCCTCTGGGGTTCAGGTCCTGTCGGGTCTCAGGGCCCATTCCACCAGGTCATTGGCTTCTTCATGGGGAGCTTCAGCAAATATTCCTCCTCACCGCATTTGTTCAGCCTGGTCTTCATTCTACACCTTTATTCACCATTATCGGTTGGATGTTGCCAGATCTTCTACTTCTGAGTTCAGTAGAACTGTCCTATTAGCGGCATTGTAATTATGTACATAAATACGTGTTATGGGCGTCATATTTCAGTGTTGATTGTTTTCTTTACCTCCCTTACATCCTTAGCTTGGGTATAACCCATATGTAGTGCTGCCATGGATTTATCCGGGAAAATAAAATGTACAAAGAGAAAACTACACATAAAGATAGGAAAAAAGACCAATTATAGGTGTTTTCTAGAAAGGGTTATAGAGGTAGATAGGACTTAACCCTTAAGTACAAATGTAGAAAACTGATTAGACTGGTAGCCCCCCTAAAATGGGTAGAGAAACCAACCTCACAAAGAGTATCTCTAAATGAAATACAATATAGGGTAAAAAAAAAAAATCTTTATTGTAAAAAAACAAACAAAAAAATAAAATAAATAAACTTTACAAAAAGGTGTTGATATAAAATAAGAGTGATGTAAAGATGTGTAGTGAATGGAGAGTGATGGTAGAGTAAAGAACAAGGAAAGTGTACCGGTAAGGGACTGGGATGGATAGGATATACTCTAATGCGAGTACCGGATATCTACAAAATAGCTGCCAGACTAGGAACTTGATAATAATAAAATAAATACATTTTATTAAATCTAATGAAAATAAGAAAATATAAATAAGTGCTCATGTACAAAAAGGTGAACAAAGTGATAGGTTTTAAACCAGTTACACTAACTAGGAATGTCCCTATTAACACTAAGAATTCTTAAGACATACCACTAGTCTATGTGGCTCTGATAGGCTAACTCTAGTGGTATATACAGAAAGCGTCAATGTATTATCGTAATAAACTGGTACAGGTATAATAACTACATAGCCTGCATGAAATTAGACCAGGAACATTAGTTTGGATGTCACCATTAATATTAAAACGGATCTCAGAGTGCGACAAGTCTATGTAACACTGATCGGCTGCCTCAAATGGTATATAGAGTTAATATCAATGGATACTTAATGTTAGAATGGTGAAAGTTGGATATCAGCCTAAGCGGGATAGTGGGATACTGTGGAGCTAGCCTGATAACTTATCCTGCATATGTTTGTGCCTAGATATAGAGCTTCACCCTCTTCTTATGTTCCTTGATAGGGTCTGTTTTCGGTATGTATTTTTTGGTTCACATTTTTATACAGGTATCATAATATGGTTTCTTTGTATTAGTGGTTATACCACCCAGTTTATTACTTAGATCAGAATTTTTGCTTGCATATTGGGTATATTGACACTCTAAGATGTCCTTGCCGATACTGGTTATGTGTGTCCCGGTACAATAAAGTGTTTTTTGCATTTTAATTGGTTGTGCTCCTCCTTTCAGTATTATACGATTATATTAGTAGCCTTTAGGAAATGGGGATTTTGGAGCGAGCACCCTTATCTGTACTAATTTTCTTTATCCAGTGTTTATGGCTTTTAACCGGGTGTGCCCACCTTTCTTTTGTTAATAGATATAGAGCTCAGTCAGGAAAAACGGGAAGGTAATGAAGCATAAAAAGGAGGTAATAGGGAGAAACGGGGAGGGGGAGCTGCAAGAAATCCTGTATACCTACAATGCCAATGAGAATGGTCAAATCATATTGGTTTCCGTAAGGTAGATAAAGAGAAAAACTTGCCGGAACTAATAATACAAAACTTTTGGAATAGCCACAAAATAATAGGAGGGTGGAGGGTTTAGATTATATATGAATCTATACTAGGATTTGTTTATAGCCCCTTACTTATGGCCTTTCCCCTTCCCCCTATTTATCTATACCACCAAGGATTCTCTGTGATCCATATTATATTATTAACTATACATATTTACCAACATATATTAACAGAGTTCCCTCCTCTACTATACATTGAACTAGACCTCTGGTCCATAGGTAACCTATTATTCAGTCTATATGAACTGCCCATCTGCTTTCTCCTTGTTCTCTCTATTTACATAATGCAGGCTTAACCCTGCATGTATTTATATTCACTTTGAGGACATAATGTAAGCAGTTTGCTACTTTGTGTTATTCTAATCTACTGTTTTCATGCTACATGTGTAGCTTGTGGAGTCCATAATATACACCTGGAACAAAGATTCAGTAGTCACTCTACCATCACGCTCTATACACTACACTCCTTTACATCACTTATATGAACATCTTTTTGTAAAGTTTGTGCTTTTTTCAATAAAGATGTTTTACCCTATATTGTATTTAATATAGAGGTACTCTTTGTGAGGTTGGTTTCTTTACCCCTTTTAGGGGAGCTACCAGTCTCATCAGATTTCTAAATAAAAAAAAAAAAAACATTTACTTCATAGTCACCGATATTTCAGTTTTCCAGGATGTATGCCATGGCAGCACTGCAGCCACGGCAGACATCCGGGAAAATAAAACATCGGTGAGTATGAAGTACATTTTCTATTTTAGCGTATTTTATTATTTGCCGTTTCGTTCAGGTGTGATTTAAGCAAAATAACTAACTCACATAGTATTTGTCTTACCTAGAATGTGGGGGTAAAAGTGCATTTTAGCATATTTTATTATTTGGAGTTAGTTATTTTGCCTATTGTGCCACTTAATCACACCTGAAACGGCAAATAATAAAATAAACTTTTACCGACTTTTACACTCTACACAGTTAAATGATTTTGCTTAGCAGCTGTGACTTCATAAAATTCAGATAAATACCATTGTGGTGCAGTAGGACTCCGTGTTCCACTTTCTTTTTCATGTCATAAATCTGAATAGTTTCATCTTTGCTCCCAGTTGCTACAAATCTGTTATTTGCAGCAACTACTGACAGTGAGGCAGTATGGGCATGATGGGTAAAATCTGCTGTGGCTTGCCATTTCTGAAAAAGAAAATAATTATCACAATATTGGTGTTAGAGTCTTCATGCCTTTTAAATCCATGGAATTGCCGCTGATGTTCATGCCTTTTAGATTCATAATGTTGTCACTATAACATGGACTGAGCTTCTGCTATGATAAAATCCTGGTACTAAATAAATACAATTATCACATTTAAGTTTAATAGGAGAGTATTGAAGACATTCCAATAGTATCTCATCTAGTTTACTAAGGGGCTGGCTGATGTTTAGTAATATTTGCAGAGAACATAATTTAGTAATTTGTTATGATCCTCTTACTAATTACGCTTTGCTGCACCAGGGTAAGTAAATTTGCGACCTCCTGCGGAATAAATTCTGAAGACCTCTATAATTGCAAGCAGCCAGGGGTTAAATTTCACATAAAATATTTCACCAGCAGAGAACAAATAAGTAACATTATAAAATAGGGACCCTGCCTAATGTTCTAAACGTCATAGCCTAATGCCACTTTAAGCAAGGATTTAGCTCATTTAATACTCGCTAGCACGCATTTTCTGACTTACCTCCTCCTGGGGCTGCACTTGAAACCCAAACAGTATCTGCTCATAGCACCCCACCACTAGTTCAATACGGCTCTCCATGGTGCTCACTGTGCACTGTAACACGTGGGTTGGAAACGCTGTTTCCGGGGTCCTCGGAGCAGTAATATGGCTTCCAACACAATGCCTGATCTGAAGTCGGCAGTTGTTTTTTTTAATTATTATTATACTGACTGAACATCGATCAGCTTTTCTGTGTGGAATGATTTTAATCCACCATTAAGCACCATGCGAAACCGTGAGCTGTATCACCCCCGAGTAATAAAATAGATGAGGCAGGCACGGAAGGGACAGCCGAGGGTTTAGTGGACCCCCATATGTCATTCGTGTGCGACAGCTGAACTTGTCCACACATGGCTATAAAGGAGGTCTAGCGTACAGGACGGAAAATGCATGAGTTGTATGATTATAATACTGTGGTGTCTGCAGACAAATAATCTGCTGGTATATTTCCCTGTAAATCACCACTATAGTCTTGAAAATGCGTTAATTCTCAATGCAAAATACGTACATTATGTTGGTATAATTACAACAGCACTTTATAATAATAATAATAATATGCTGTTTTACAGTAGTGTAACCATAGGCAAGAAAGGGTTAATGCCACAGACCACATAGGAGTTAAAGTAATATCTTGCTGGACTGATTGACACATTTCTATAAAAATTGACACATTGGAGGAGATTTATAAACTGTCCCTAGAACCTTAAACATTTAAGAGTCAGCAAATATTTGACATAACTAAATTCTGTCTGGACTTTTTTTCATCCGTTGCTTCTTTTGCTTACTCATCGTCATTTTTGATATATGCCATATTCAGTGTCGCAGCAGATGTATTATTATTTTTTTTTTTCTGACTAAAAATTTTTCTGGTTTTGGTTGGGGGGGTTGGTTGTTTTCTGAAATGGAATTAGCTGTGAAGACTGAGCGAATTTACTATTTAGAAAAACGTAACTTTATAGACCTCATTAATAAATACAATCAAAATACTGTCAGAATTTAGCCATAAAAGCTAGGGGAGTTCTGACTTTTACAGATTCTAATAAAACATGGCCTGGCCACCTCAATATAGAGGGTGATGATGTTTACACTGCTGCAAAACCATTAGGTGTTCTTATTCTAGTACCCCCTTCCCACTTCGTATCATACACGGAAACTGAGAAATTGAGGCAGATCCAGAACAAGATACTACTGTTTTTTTCACAACAGAATATTTTAGTGAGTCCAGGAAGTACTTGGTTGAAACATCATATACAGAGGCTCCCCCGATGATTTTAGTAACATGGTTGCAGACACTGATTAAAAATATACCAACTAAAGATGATATTAAAGCAATAATCGAGAAAGCCTTACAACCTGTCCATGTTGAGCTGGTAGGTCTCAAGCAAGAAATAAAAGAAAGGAAATCAGGTGACATCTTTGGAAGAAGACAGGTTTAAAGTGGCAGAGGCAGGGGGAGGGGCCAGACCACCATGCTGAACGGTTGCATAGAGTCATAGACGATCGGCCCCTGCAAATCTTTGGCAAATACACTTAAATTCAGCGATTAACCTGCTTAAATACAGCTGTAAAGCAGCAGTCCTGCGTGCACAGAGGTTCTGGTACCAAAGCTACACTTTCTCTGCGACTTTTGACCCGTTAGAGGTTGCCGCGACATTGTGATAGCTGAGGCCTACTGGGGTGGACAGTTGCCTCGACATTGTGATAGCTGAGGCCTATTGGGGTGGACGGTTGCCTCAACATTGTGATAAAACAATAATGAAGAGAAAGGGGAGGGTACAAATCTCCCCTATTGAGGGCGCTAAATAATGATGACAAAAGGGACTTATAGTAAAAAAGTCCTAAATTTAATATTTGAAATATAAAATATAAAAGACAAAAACAGAGCAGTGCAATTGTAAGACTGATTATGTACACAAACACCAACCACTAGCTTGCAAGTACAGAAATGTTTCACATAGCCCTAGGTCGCGACTCATAGGGCTTGAAAATACTTGCGGCTCTCAATATAGAGGTGGAGGTGAAAGGACTGTCTCTGAACTGCTGTCTTGAAATATCAGGCTCAACGCGTTTCGTCCTGCGCTTTTCGGGACTTCCTCAGGAGCTGTGGATGCTGTTTCTTTCGCCGGCTTCCTCTCTTTATATCTTCAGACGTTACATCACTATATACGGTCATTGACCATACTAAAGGGATAACCGCGGTAAAAGAGATGATAGATAATGATAAAAAAATGTCTAATAGACAGAGTGAATTTATTTTACAATGTATTAATTTTATCCTACATAAGAATTCTTTTTGGTTTGAAGGTACCTATTACCTACAAGTCTGTGGTACTGCCATGGGCACCAGGTTTGCCCCAAGCTACGCTAATATCTTCGTAGCAAATTGGGAAGAACGTTGTATTTGGAATAATAATCCCTTCGGGGCAAACCTGGTGCTATGGAGAAGGTACATAGACGATATTTTTATTATTTGGAAGGGGGATGTCCAGTTGTTTCACAGTTTTATGGTTTATGTAAATTCTAATAATTATGGGTTGAATTTTACCCAAGAAATGGGAGATACACAGATCAATTTCTTGGACCTAACTTTCTTTATAGAGAGAAATGTAATCTGTAGTAAAACCTTCTTCAAACCTACGGATTGCAATAGCCTTATTGAATTTTCAAGTTGCCATAACCCTGTATGGCTACGTAATATTCCTAAGAGTCAACAAACTAGGCTATATAAGAATTGCACAAATCAAGAAGATTTTAATAGTCAGGTCCAAGTTTTAAATAAAAGATTTTTAGATAGAAATTACCCTAAAGAATTACTTGAAAGAAGTCAACAGGAAGTAATTATTAAAAAAAGGGAGGACACCTTAAAAGTAAAATCAAAAACCAATAATTTCGAGAAAAACTTTTTTGATATGGCATTCATTACCAAATATAATAGCAAAGCAAATAAAATGGATAAAGTTCTTAGAAAATATTGGCCGATCCTATTGCAGGACACCTACCTTTATAAAATATTACCTAAGAAGCCAAAAATTGTGTATAAAAAGACTAATAGTTTAAAAAATATTTTAGCACCCAGTATGTTGCCAAAAGTAGTGTTAGAAGAAAAACAGGATACTTTTCTTAAAGAGAAACCTAAAGGTTTCCACAGATGTGGAAACTGTAGTACTTGTAAGTTTCAAAAAAGAATAACGACAACTTTTAAAAGCACAGTTACAAGCGAGAGTTTCATGATAAAACATTTTATAACATGCAGCAGTAAAAATGTTGTATATTTACTAGAATGTGTATGTGGAATACAATACATAGGTCGAACTATCCGGAAATTACATGAGAGACTTCTAGAGCATTTCAATGGCATAAAAAAGAAAAGTGAAAAACATAGTGTACCTCGACATTGTAATGGCTGTTCCATCTTTTCTCTGAATAATTTCACTTGTATAGGTATCGATCTGGTTGTTCCACATTGGAGAGGCGGAGACATTATAAAAACTTTGGCCAGAAAAGAAACAGAATGGATCTATAAAATGAAGTCTTCGACTCCTCTAGGTCTGAACACCGACCTAGATATTTTGGCTTTTATGTAATATATTGTGTCAATTTAATGCTAAAATTGATTTTTTAACTTTTTTTACTTTTTATTATTTATTTATTTATTTTATTATTTTTTTTATATATTCATTCATCTGTTTATTTTTTATTTTTCATTTTCTTTATGTAATACCTATATATGGCTAATGTAAGGATTGTCATTTTGGATTTTCATAATAATTTTTTTATTTTTTTCCCTTTCTATATCAAAATTAATAACAATTTTCATATAAGTAGACTGGGTCTTAATTAATCCTTTGATAAAATTATTATGAGATATATAGAACATTATTGTTCCATTTAACTGTTTTTTTAATATTTTTTAAATATTTTCTTATACTATCTTATGTAGATTGTAAGGATTACCACAAATTCAATGTGCATTCAACACACTTTGTATCTATAGCTTTGCTTAACTTTGATTTTATAATTCATATCATTTATCTATACATTTGACACATTTGTGGTAAATTCTAAGGACTGGATCACTATGTTAAAAGCAGGCACAATTGTGATGAGCTTTTTGGTCACTTCTAACTAATATAATGTTACATAGTGTCCAGAACTCAGTGCCGATAAAGTTTTATTGCGCTTGAATTGAATGCGCATGCGCACCGACAATTTCCCGAAAGCTACTGGTCTATTGGGGCACCCGTAGCTAAACGGAAAGTTGTGTCGGCGGGCGCATGCGCTATGACGTCATTTTGGCGCGAAGACAGAAGATCGCTGAAGATATAAAGAGAGGAAGCCGGCGAAAGAAACAGCATCCACAGCTCCTGAGGAAGTCCCGAAAAGCGCGGGACGAAACGCGTTGAGCCTGATATTTCAAGACAGCAGTTCAGAGACAGTCCTTTCACCTCCACCTCTATATTGAGAGCCGCAAGTATTTTCAAGCCCTATGAGTCGCGACCTAGGGCTATGTGAAACATTTCTGTACTTGCAAGCTAGTGGTTGGTGTTTGTGTACATAATCAGTCTTACAATTGCACTGCTCTGTTTTTGTCTTTTATATTTTATATTTCAAATATTAAATTTAGGACTTTTTTACTATAAGTCCCTTTTGTCATCATTATTTAGCGCCCTCAATAGGGGAGATTTGTACCCTCCCCTTTCTCTTCATTATTGTTTTATTTGTAGGCTTTTTTGGGGTGTGCCTTTTATGAGTGGCAGCTTTACTTTTGTATGACATTTTATATAACCTAGATTCTGGATCCACTTTAATCTTGTATTTGTCAACATTGTGATAGCTGAGGCCTACTGAGGTGGTGATTGGGGTGGACGGCTGCCGCCCTGCTATCCTGCTCGCGGTGACAAGCCGAACCTTTGGTGCCACGTGGTTTTGGCCTTGTTTCCCCCCCTTTGGACCAGTGGGGGTGATCCCTGTCCGCACCTTGGGAGCCCTTCTGCAACTCATAGTTGTCCTGCTAAGCTGGATGGAAAATTTCCCTCTAA